AATTGAACCCTGTGAGTCGTATCTCCATCATCAATAAACAGTTCAGAAGAAGAAAAAGAACATTTTTCTTGATCTGATTCCACTTTCAGATGGAGTTTACTCCTCTCATGAGTAGACATTGAGCTTTTTTTATAACTTATTATTAACACAATAAGACTAGTTTATCGTCGGCAGGTGTAGATCTAATGATCGTATCTAGATCAAGAAAAATGTTCTTTTTCTTCTTCTGAACTGTTTATTGATGATGGAGATACGACTCACAGGGTTCAATTGTAACCTAAAGGTTATCAGGCGTTCATATATTCCTATTGGAAGGTCAGATAGGCATTTTAATAAGGAAAATTTGATGGTTAAACCGACTTCATGTATTCAGTCTTCATTTTTTTGTTTTTTTTTCCTTTCCAAAAGAAAGTGTAACTGTCCCTAAGTTCTTCAATAAGTGTGTGGATGTTCCATGTTCCCAACATAAAAGTTTTTCTTGGTGTTTTTTGACCACAAAGTATATGAATTGCTAGCTGCAGTAGGTTGATCAAATGCTGTAGGGCAGGCAATTTCAGAGCACCTTTTTTTAGCCCTCTCCCTATTAAAGGTTGAGCAATGCTATTATTGAAAATGACTGCTTAGTCGCCTGGAATGCTTCAAAATGTTTATCCTGCTCATAGTTCAGAGCCAAACGACCAAATTTCCAGGCTACCTACATGCAGGTTTGTAGCTACGACCACCAGTTACTTTACAACTTGCCCATCGTTGGAGGTTATGAGATAAGAGATAATGCATGAAGCTGTGCGTGAATATTTTTTAAAGATACAAGCATAGGGATAGTTCCACTCACTCTTCTACAGAAACTTGAAGAAATGTTACAACTGGAAGGTTCTTTGGTTACAGTGGATAGTCATGACATCTTCTGTACCTTTTCACGCCTTCTGCCGTTAAAGCTGTGGAACTTTAATCTCTTCTGTCTTGATCCCCAGAACAGTTTTCGTATGTTAGGGTATGCATTTACAATTCACCATTGATTTTTGGCCAATGGTTACCCTCACCTGATTTTACCCACCAACCGAGGTGATTTTCTGAGGTGTCACATAGAACAGCTACTTGGAGCAACACTTGAAAGTTGGGTGTTTGAGAAACAAAGAGGATCAACCACTCCATAAAGTATGGCATACTCATCCTTCAAAGGTACTACCCTTCCCGAAACCCTCTTACACTCCATTGTATAAATATACGTATTAACAGTTATTTACCAAGACCATATCATTAGCTAGAAAAAGAAGGTATTTATAATATATATATTTGAATACCTCATAAATATGTTATAATAAGTTACGATAAGTAACTCTAGAGGTTCAGTGCACTTCAGAATTAACATTACGATCACTCACTTTTAGTATGTGAAAACTGGCCTGGATGTTTCTTAGGTCTGTTCCAACATCCAACTTGACTTCGGGGTCCGGATTGTTTAGGTATTCCTGAACAGCAAGATTGCAACTAGAGGAAAAGGTAAGAGAAAGCTGTACATTAAAGTTTTGTAACATGCTAATAAATACACGACTACAAAACATAATTATGTATGATTGTTTGTGCACTGGGCGTGGTCTATTGGTTAGCGTGCTTGATTATGAAACCAAAAGTTCGTGGTTCACCTCCCGTTGCAGCAAAAAACATGCTTCGCGCTTTGGAGGCATGGGTGCGTAAAAAGAGTAATGGTTAAATCTCTCTATTCGGTTAGAGTAGCCAAAGAAAGTTGTTAGTGAATGCTGTTGACTGGCACAAATAGTTCTTGCATAGCTTTTCGCGAATTTTCGAAACACAGAATGATATATATATGTAGTTGCTTCTGATTATATATAGCAAATTGAATTTTCAACCTACAAGTAGGCTAAACGGCCATTTTAGAGGCTAGTGAGTTCATGTATAGCCGTCCCTAATTTTGAACTACTGTTCAGACAGAGAGCAGCCAGTCAACAGCATCTGACGTCAGAAGAGCCGCCTCTGGCTTTTTGAACCACATTATCAGGATTTACTGTTATTTTTTGCTGTAGCTGAAAGTGAAAAGCAAATCCAGCGGCATGACTTCTCGAACCCTGGATCATTCGATTCGCAACTCGACATGTGCTTCAGACCCGATTTTTTTTAGAGTCAGAGTGTTACATTGTCTATCAGTTTTGACCAGTATTTCGAAGGATTCACATGTAAAATCTAACTGGATTTTAAACCTTGGATGATCTAAGGACCACTATGCACACGTTAGTGGCGGATGTGTGAAGGTAAATGATTCAATGAAACAGAAAGGCAGTAACAAAACATCTCTGGGTTAGTAAGTAACAGTTCTGTTATAAAGTTGACTTGCCATCCCCTTTAAGAGCCAGTTATTTGAAAAACAAAAACCTAAGATTATTAGAATAATACATTTGTATGTCTGTGAAATAAAAAAGTAATTTTTCGTTCAATACAAGTAATTTAGTATAATACAAACCCTCCTCCTTGCTTGAATGTGGTAATCTGATGAATCTGTATTTATTGAGGAAACTAATGTATAATGTAACTGGTTGAAGCTCACATGTAGCAATCTGATCAATCAGCGTTTACTAAGGTAACTATTCTAGAGTGCTGTAACCAGAGAGACTTTTATGTTATAATCTGAGGAAACTACTGTACAATGCTGTAACTGGTGGAAGCTTTATTGTGATACACATTTTCCTAAATATTACCTTCAGTATTAGCATATATCAAAACTCATTCACACACACCCCCTCCCCAACTACTCCGAAAATGTCCAGTTTCGTGGTGTTTCTAGTCCTAAATCTGCCTACTTATGATATTAACACAAGTATATGGTTATGTCAGTGGAATAATCTAGGCGCAAGTATGTTATACACCTTTCAATATCTACGTCCGATAAGTGACCAGTCAGATCTTCTCCCCCTAGTGACATCACTTGATTCTTTAGCTGTACTATTTCCTGGCGGAGTCGGGTGATTTCCAGTTTCGGATCGATTTCTTCGTTTAGGATAGCTAAATTTTTCACTTGGGAAACTCGTTGAGCAAATCGACAAGTTGATATCGACTCCTGAAAACAAAAAAACAAGGGGTGAGGCTCATTAATCTACATTTTGAAATTCTAATATCGATATCATTTATACGGGCTGTTCACACTATATAAAATACACGATATCAACATTCCTATACAGTCTTGACTACATGAATCTATGGAGTATTAACAACGTGTCATAGCGGTGTTTTTTTTCTCTTAACTCTTCCATTGGCAGGGACATTGATATGGGATACCTTTGTTTTAGCCTTGAAAAGTGTGATATTAATTATACCTGAGTTTGGAATTTTGTACCACCATGAAGAAAGAGTATTCCTATTCGAACTTCCCAAAGCTTATCATTTTCATGTCTTAGATAAATAATGAAATATTAAAACACCTAATCCTTTGTTTTTTTATTGTTTATTTGAAAACACACCTGGCACTGTTTATTTCTAAGGATGGCAGCGGAAGAATTAGCGGTGTCTAAAGGAGATAATACAATTAAATCTACAAAAATACTATATCCATACTTTAGTTTTCCATTTTTTATGAATTATCTTCATTAATTATCCCTGGTGGTTGGTACTACTACTACTTTTCACTATAGTGCAATGTATATTTTTGGTTTGTTTGGTTTGTTTTGAATTT